AAAGAATAGCTGAGGACGGGTGCGAGCTATGGGAGAAAGAGAGGCGCTTCACCCTCATTTATTGCTCTCACGCCCTCGGAGTAAATAACACCACCCACCGCGTAAAAAAGAGGCAGGAATCTCGATATCCCTCCATCATTCAGGAGAAGCACCGGTTACAAAGCCACGTCCAAAAGACGGACGCCGAAAAGACGGACGCGAACAGGCCCCAGACGTCTGCCACTGAAATTGCTCGCAACGCCCTCCACCTCCATAAGCACAGCACAAACACACTGAATGAGATGGGAGGGAGGATACACACAGATCTGAACCTGACCGGACGACGCACGGTCCATCCGAGACGGATTGATGTTTCTGACCTGAATTTGAGACCTGAACGAGGAACCCCAGGTCTGACCACAAACAACAGGATTAATCCACCGTAATCTGATTAAATGATGGATTGACTGATTGTGGTTCTGACAGATCCACCGCCTGAACGGATGGCGGGCGGGCCAGCACCCAATGATTTGACCGATCTGACTGCACGGATCCCGTCGACCGGCACGATCCGGACCGTGATCCCAGACTGTAACGATCTGATCTGACTTGCCTGCAACGTCAATTTGATTCTCGATAATCTATGACAAATCAATGAAAAATCATCCGCTGCAACCAGTGGCAACACTAACGACCCCCACATGCCAAACGTTCTTCCATCAACGCCCTGCCTTAGATTATACCGAAGAAAACGTTCGACTGATTAAATGTAATTGAGCGAGGCTGACAGGATGATGAGCGAAGATCCGAATAATTATAAGCGGTTTTCTTTCTCGTCCGTAAATGTGACAGTTTCCTACGATGTTTTGTCACGCGGTAACTACCCTTACCTCGCTTTAGATTTCTGGTAACTGTCTCCAGCAAAGGCAAAACAAATGAATATACCTAAAAGCGTCAATATAACTATTATTCGCAACATGTTCATGAGTTGTAAGAAAGTTGCTATTTGGAAATAAACCGAAACCTGTGGACATTGATAAGTTCAGGGGCATTTTGACTTGTGTTTATGTTAAATCATGTCTTGTTTCAGGGCACCTTAAGAACGAGAATATAGTTCAAAACCACTTAAACATAGCATTGTTGAACGTATTTTAGTATCTAAACGGTAGATATAGGAATATTTTATCCCCTAAAATTTTTTATCTGTTCGGATTTCCTAGCTGAAAGTCTAGTGATCCGAAAATTATAGGGGTCAAAACTTACCTTTTGAAAATTTCAGCCAGATAAAAGACTCCCTGAAAATTCTAGGTGACTTTTTTAGGTAAAATCCGTTAAAATGGGCAATTATACAGTTTTTTAAATGTTGAAACCCCTAGGAGAGAGGCGGGCAAGCAAGAAATTTTACAACAAATCTGCCGAAAATTCTAGATCTCAAATGGTCTTCCGAACAGATATTTTCAAAAATTGACGTTGGGTGCCCCTATTGTTTCGTAACGGTCACCTAGAGTTACGAACAAATGTCTTGCTGTTTATCACGTAAAATTAACACTCAGAGAAAATCAAAAATTAGTGATTCTGAAAATTAATTTCACACTTTCAAAAAGATCAGTAAAAGTCAATAAATTAAAGCTCTTGTTATGTAGAGGGTGCCCGGCTTCTAGGCGTTAAAATAATAGAGTCTTTTCTGCGTAACGTCCTGCCTGTCTTAAATTTTTCAGCGACGAAACATTCTTGAAAGAAAATTGAAGCAATTGAGGTAAGGTAAGCGGTACTTATCGCGTGAAAAACATCGTAGAAACCGTCACATTCACGGACGAGAAAGAAACCGCCTATAATTATTCGGATCCGGGATTTTGGCATGAGGTAAAGTCGTGTTGCCTACCGACTTCTGCTTTTACACTTGAATGATTTTTTTTTTCATTTAGTTTTTATTCATAGATTTATTTGAGAAGTAGAATTTAGCTTTTTAATATGACGTTTTGTAACAATAAAATCGACACGATGATCCGCCAACTCTTAAGTCCAAGTCATATCTTATTTTTCTTTTCGGGATCATTTGCGGTCGACTTTGGGGATCACTTGCGGTCGAGGATCATTTGCGGTCCATTTTGGGGATCATTTGCGGTTAGGATCATTTGCAGTACTGTACAGAAGTCCTCGGTAAAACGAACGGAATTCTTCGCCCAAAAATATGAAGAAAATAAATTATGTTTATAGTGTTTATAGCGGAGCGTGCGCGGAGCGAAAGCAGCGGAGCCCCCACAGCTATATTGAAAATAGAAACATATCAATTAGCGTCCCAGACAGGCTTTTTTAAGGGGAGGCGTGTTTCATTTTGAGGATGGACGAAATACGACCACCAAAAATCGCAGTACTGAACTTACCTTTTAAGATGGTGCTAATGGGGTGAAGCTGCGGTCAGTATAAACCAGCTAAAAAACCACTTCTCAGCCAGTAACAAAGACAAACGCAGGTATGTCAGTAGTCACGGCAAGTCCGTCGCAAATAATGGGTTTAAACATTACGGCTAAAGGGCAAAGTGAGAAATGACAAATTCAACCTTTAAGTCCTAACTCGAAAATCAAGAAGACAATCCCGCTGAAAATTCTAACCAGAAGGTTAGTTGAACTCTCCGTGCCGTGGCCATAATTCACATCACACGCAAAACTCGTGGCATTCGGGCACTGTTTCAGGATAATGACGGGCTAGATTTATATTATCATCATCCAAGGAAAATTAGAACAAACTGGAACTACGGATGGGAAAACAAAAGAGACGAAGGTTGTTTATTCGTATTTTGTCATAGCGTTACTGAACGAATGGCTCATGACTAGTTCTTAATTATATTTGCCGCTCTTCCATTGGTCAAGTCTGTTGTTGGATCTGCGCACTCAGAATCTGCCCAAAAGGACAGAAACTAATGTGAAAATTTAAGCTAAAGCAAAGGGAATTTAAGATAAATTAAGGCTTTGTTCCCATTAATGGTGAAAGGTACACAGAAAACAATAATTACAATTTGTCAATACAACAGACAATAGTGGCATAGTTATTGACACTAGGGTCGCTGTGCAACGCAGATGATGTCGCATTCCATAGACGTAACTTGAACGTCAGGATTAAGTTTCAATTTTCAATATTTTCTGACTGATGTACAGTTTGACTGTATAATCTTATGCTATCTTTGGATATCTGGTCGTATTTGGTTCCGTAGCCTTCTCTCTTCAGAAGTTTTTGCTTATACAAGCGTTTACCCAAGCAAAATCTGGGCAAACTAATATTACGCTGGGAAAGCTGTGAGGGGCTTCTATGAACAAACACTCCAGACGCTTAGTCATGTGGTGAGTCGTATGCCTTATTTCTAATGACGATTGGGAAGTTTTAAAAGGCCTGATTTGTTGAAGTTCCATGTGATGCGCAGATATTCAAAATAGGCCAAAAAATTACAGTTTTTGACCGTCCGCAAACTACTCATAAAAAAGTTGATGAATACTGCAAATTTAAATGGCGAAGTTTTAGGGCTACGACCAGCGCTCAAGTAAACCCTTTCTGCTTTCATTAAATCGAGTTATGTGGAGATATTTAACGCTCTAACTTTTGAATATTTAGATGAAATCCTCTTTTGTTATCGCACAAAAGTCAAAACCCTTTAATGAACCTTAACAGAAGAGTTTAAAAAAAGCCGTCTCATGGCGATCAGGCCGGATGAACGAATCAACCTCCGGTAACATTAGTACCCTAAGTTATGTGGAAGTGTTGATCCGAGGCTAAGAAAGATTCACAGTGGACCAAACATTTTATTTCAAACATTGACCAGCCAGGGCTTTATAGTACAGTGTGTGAACGTGTACATACTAATATAGCGGAAACGCTTCTTCGAAATGCTAGTGAAATGTTTGCATGTATGGCTAGTAAACTATGGCGTCTAATATTTTTTAGCTCAGATGTCGTAATTTGTATACACAAAGCAAGCTTAAAGGTGGGAACACAGAGCTAGACTTTCTCAAGCTTTCAGGAACTATCTCACGCTTCCACGACTCGACAACTAATTTCCCCTCACTCGCTAGAGTTAGGTAGAGTTCTTAACGACATGCGACGACAAAGCTGAAATTGTACGCTATATTTCCAGCGTCAAATTTCATTTCCTTATCAGTGCCTATGTATTGTTTCTTGCAAATAGTCATAACCGAAGAACATGTAATACTATCGTCGGAAACGAAGTTTTAAAGAACTTTTATCAAATAATAACGCGGAAAGCATTATTTGTTGATGAAATGGAGGCATGTCTAGCTGGTATACTATGGCTTCTATTTAGCTGATGCCGTAATGTCTTCACGTATGCACAAAACAAGCTTAGGCGCGTACACAGGGTTAGACTTGCTCACGCTCTCACGTCTTGACGACTTATTTCTCACACTCAAAATCTTTTGGGCCATCTGTAGGGTTCGTAACGATATGCGACAGCAAAGCTCAAATTGTAAGCTATATTTCACTTCCTTAATATTGCTTAATATGTATTATTGTAAAAAGTCATGGCCTAAGCCGATTAAGCATATGTATATGAACTGTGAGGGACAAAAACTAAGTTTTAAAGGTCTTTAAAGAAGAGTTAACGATTGCTAATTTCTGAAATTGTATTTTATGCTCAGTTTAATGACGGTGATTTAGATTTTTCGGGCCAGCTCAATCAGTGATTAATTCGTTTAGTCATCGGTTGCTAAAGAAATAAGTGCGCGCTTGTCTTGCGCCGAATAAACTCATTAACTTAAAGCACAAACTCATAAACCCCCTTATGAGTTTCTGCTTAAAGCTAACACAATTCATTGGAATCAATCTAAAGTGTGTCTCATTTCTCAGAGGGGCATACTTAATTTTAGGACAAATAGAATCCAAATCATCATTACATGGCAAAGGTGATGTTGTGATGGCTTTAGCAAAGTAGCATGTTGAAAATAATTTTTGTAAACACAGGAGCTGAGGCAAGCTACAAGTGGAATGAAGTCACGCATCCTGCAAAAAAAGCAATGGACTTCCAGCAGGACGCTTTAAGAGGTATAAATTTATAGCTGGTGATATAACCTAGGTTTCAGTGCCCCAATCGCCATTTAACCCTCGGAAGCACACGCAAATTCATACCCTACTCTGGTACAGGGAGGGGTTCGATGGAACCCTCCCAGAGTTTTCAATATCTTGCAGTGTTTCGAAACGATTTTTCCTTCAGTGGAAAGCCTTTGATCTCATCATGAGGGTGAGGTACCGTAAATGATCTAATAAACGCCCGGGCGTTTATTTAATTTTAGGGGTCCAAGAGGGGGCGTTTAATAGATAGGAGGCGTTTAAAAGAGAGAAGCGTTTATTCTCGTAACTTATTTTAACGAACTCAACAAAACTGTATACAGTATGCTTTCGGCCAAAGACGTTTTTGTGTTAACAGAATCTCGACTGCGGGCTGACGGCTTATCCTTACTTTGAACTAGAAATTGAACATGACAGAATACACAAACCGATGTTAATCAAGCAATGAAATTAATAAATTGATTGAATGTGCTCTATTTCGCCATTTCCTAGTATTTTGGAGCAATTTTCACTGGGGACTTTTATTAGAGAGGGGCGTTTAATACCAACTTACCAGCGTAAGGGGGGCGTTTATTAGATAAGAGGCGTTTATTTGAGAGTGGGCGTTTATTAGATCGTTTACGGTGTTACTTTGTGGGTGGTGGCGCTGATGGAGGCTTGTGACGTCATCAACAATGGTCGCCATCTTGGTCGCCATTATCGTTGCCATCTTGGATTTTACCAAGAATCAGAAATCAGGTTGAAATCGCGATAAATTGTATTTTTTTTTTTTTTGTGCTTGGCATGTAAAATAACACATAAATAAGCACTTTGTGTTAATTCATCGACAATTTTTACTTTTATTGCTGAAAACATTTGGAAAAAACATGCATTTCACTCAAAAATAGCCTGGTCCAGGCTCCGAGATGGTAGGTAGGTACGTGGTGTAAAACAACTGCTACTTATGACGTCATATCTCGTAACCATAGAAACTGGCCATCACTAAACTAACTACTAGTTAGAAAAACGAACAGCTACTGCAAACGTGAGGTGCTGATGTTTTATCCTCTACGAAAAAAGAAACACAGAGGGCACGGGGGTGGTAACCACCCACTGCCCCCCCTGCCTCCCTGCCCTGAACATAAACTAAGCGTTTATTTAGTCGACCCATTATTATTCCTCTAAGCACGTTTTTGCAGCAAAAAGTTAACACGTTGGTCAAAGAGTTGAAGCATGGGGGTGAAAGAAATTGCGGTCAAAACGTATTTTTGTCCCTCTCTTCTTGTTCCTCGTACGTGCTCGGTATCTAATTAAACCAGTTTGTGAAATCGTCCTATTTTTAAACTAGCGCCACAGTGTTAGGGTCGTGACGTGGTATGTGGGAATAGGGGATGTAGGGGATCTAGGATGATTTGGGTCAGATCAGGGATCACTGTGGCGGGATCATGATCAGGTTGTAAATTTGAAATTTGGTATCACTTCCACAACTGGAGGGCTAAATATAAACGGTAAGTGTATTTAACGTCACTGCTACATTTCTGAATACTGCTAAGTGATATTTGAGATAATGGCTGTTTTATGGCATCTCCTTTATCACAATTTAAGAGAATTTTGGGATATCAGATCACAGCAATGGGAACATTACTGATCCCAATTACTCCGTTACGACCCTGTCGGTCAGAAGCCAGTCAAAAAATATGAACACTGCTGGGACAACAAAACTTGTCTTTTTAACGGGCTGGTGTCATCCTAAGCCGCTTTAAAACTTGGAATGATTGATACATTTAATAGGCCATTTTTAAGTTGCCTTAAGCCTCTGCTTCAAAGAGAGGCTAAGTGCGAAGCAATTATATATTATGGAAATGATTTTTTTCATTCACATGTAAATAAAGCTCATTTTCACTACAAAGCGAAAGTGTTTGGAACTCGGGAATGGCCTGTAGAGAAATATGTCTTTTCAGTCACTGACACAGGTGGCTTGGGAGAAAAAATCCAAGTACTCCCATTAACAGTGGAACAGAAGCATATAACCCGAAGCGTATAACTTTGTCTCAATGCTCGGGTTTTTTAGGGAACCAATCAAAATTTACTTCCTAAAATGGAATTACTGATAAACGAGATTGTCGTGCGAGTGCTCTATAGGAAAACTTGTATCACGATGTAAATGATGCGGTGCAAAAAGCATTTACTGTTTTACGAGGTAATATTTGACAAAAAAGCGGAATACAGTATTAATCCCCAAATGACCAAGACTTAGTTAGTTCCTCCTAACAAGACAAAGTCGACTACCAATAACATGCACCGTATTAAAAAGAGAAGCGATTTCTTAAAGTTGTTACTTCAACTGACGATTTTTGCGTAACCATTAGGGCAAATAACCTTTAAAAAAATCAGTTACTATCTATCCAGAATATATATTTAAAATAGTAACACATATTTTAAAAAAAAATTCACTAGTTGCTGAACTGAAAAGTATAAATTGTATAAAATTCCTGGCATCTTCGCAGAAGTGATTCTAGTAATAAGACACTGAATGAGAAGGATGAAACGCAAGTTATAAAGACTTAGACGCGGCGATCATGTTTTCAACTAATGTTTTGAATGGAAAACAGAAAAAACAATAAACAGACAAATTGTTTCTTGAAAATTTTTATGCGAAAACCCATAAGTTTACCGTTAAAAGCAATTCACGTAACACTGACTGGATCGTCAGGATCCGTTTCCACAAGTAAAATCGGCTGAGCACATGGCAAAAACACTAAAATTATCCGTCTTAAATCGGGCGCATTTCCCATTTTTTTTTTTGAAAACTCTATCAAAAATATATAAAACGTCTATGAAACATTTCTAAACACATAAATTTCCTTTCATCATCGTACTTTCCTTGAGCATAATGTGTAAAATGTAAGTTTACCTGAAAAATCTGTAAAACGGTTGCTGACTTGGTCGCAGTGCAGAAAACTTGACAAGCACTCCTCCGTGAAAGAAACAAGGTCGAAGTCCTCGAAGGTAAATTTCGCAGCTTAAGACTTTTCTTTGTCCCCAACAAGAAAAAAAACTTTTACATGTCACACGTCTAATCAAAACTGCCATACATGTGTTCGCTTGCTGTTCTGAATGAATCAAAAAAATCTACACTCACAAAAAAAAAGTTCCGTTCCGACTTCGTCGGCGTCTTGTACAACGTTTCTGCAAAGCTTGCCATATCATTTTGTTTGTAGTCACCATGCTGGTTTTACTGAATGAGAGCAGAAGTTGCAGATAACTGGTTTGGTGTGGTAGACAGGTTTGCAGCTATTAGCCTGAGGATGATCTTTGTCGGTCAAAGGGGCTGCAAACGCATTTTGCGATATCGTGAAAAAATGTAAACATCCTTGTCTTATTTCGTCGCTGGTCGATGTTTTCAAGCCATACCGCTTACAACTTTGTGGCTCTTTATGTTTTCCCCAGGGTTGCATTTTATATCAGCATAATTACTTTATCTTTTATGCCACAAAACGATTTCTTTCGGTTGTAGACATACATGTACAAGCGTTGCAAGCTCAAAGCTTGAATTCTCTGATTCCATATTTGGGCAAAATATTTTTCCGTATTTCTGATTGGACGGCTGCGTCGGCTAAAAAACCCGAGCATGGTTATAAACAGATAAGGGGAATTTAGACGCTTCGGGGTTACATGCTTCTGCAGTGGAACCTATGACCTTCTGGCCCCAGTTGCTCAAAAGTTGGATAGCGCTATCCGCCTGATAAATCACTATCCAGCGGATAAGTGTTAGAAAGCGCTATCCAGTGGATTTATCCGGTGGATGGCGCTATTCACCTTTTGAGAAACTGAGGCCTAGTTTAGATGCTCTTGACTGACCCACAGGAGACTCGTGGAAGTCACTATTCATTTGCTGGAACTTGCATATATCACTCGAACTCTCGAGCACACATACATTTAGACTACCGTTAGTTGTCATAGAGTGTGCGAGGGGAACGTGTGTGAAATTTCTCCCTTCTCTGTATGCTGGCAGCTGGTTTTGTTGATCCTGAGAAAACAGACGACATTTCGCGATGCCACCAACGCCACCGCGAAATGACGTCTGAGAAAGAGCGCAGAAATTTCATACTGATGACGCGTCACTACGCAGGTCTAGGTAGTGCTTCTGATTGGTCGAGGCAAATTTCACACGCAGCACGACCAATCAGAAGCAATACCCAGATCTGGGTAGTGATGCGTCATTAACATGGAATTTCTGTACCTATTTCTCTGAAGTCATTTCGCGGAAAAACCGTTGGTGGCGTCGCGAAATGTCGTCTGTTTTTCTCAGGATCAACCAAAACCAGCTGCCAGTTCAAGATCCGTAGGTTGGATCAACGTCTGTTTTTGACCCAACCGGGATAAATAAGATAATGTAGTCTGGTGAAATTTCCAGTCTATTATACTTTTTTTACCAAAAGTTTGTTGTGTAGTTGCTGTCTCTGTGAAAAGTAGTATTCTGCCGATTAAAGTTGTTTCTTTTGAGATATGTATCCCGTTTATCTTCTCTTGCCTCATTTACGGCCACAACGACAATTTTATGAAGGGGATTGGTTTCTGAAGTAATTTGGCATTGAATTGGGGGAGGACTGCAACACAAAACTTGGCTTTATCAAATGAGTCCGTAAAAAAATTAGCCATCGGTCAGAGTCAGGAGAAGCTGACCATTAAAGCCGTAAAATTTTAATCTGATTTAATTGGGCATTGTGAAACATACTCAAGAGCATTATTTTGGTTGTAGAAAAAGCAGAGGTTTTCAATAAAGCTGGCAATGATGCATACAGAAAGAAAGATTTTGCAAAAGCCATTTTCTTTTACACGGAAGGAATCAAAGTTGAATGCAAGGATAAAGAACTTGTTTCCAAGCTGTACAACAACAGATCGACGGTATACTTCTATCAAGGTAAATTTTTAGGGATAAACAATACACTGGTACATCATGCACTCTATTTTTTTTTTACAAGCAAGACATTCTCGCTGAAAGGAAGCTCGGGTTGCCTCTTTCTTTTTTATCACTGTAAAAGACATAATCACGCAATATTTCGGTGCGTAAGTTGTTTTCCTTACCTTTTTGTAAAAAGAAAACGAAGAGATGTTACGAATTCTGGGTTTCAAAACGAGAAGTCTTCAATTAGGCCCGCCCACAATTTAGCAATGCGCACGGGGAAAAATTTAATAAGCACCGCTGATGGGGAGTTTTAAAAATACGGTAACCATAATGTAAGTTTTGTGTTGATTTGAAGACAGCCCGGCGAATGCTGTGTTTAAATAGACGCTGGCTATCCGTTTAGCAATTTAACGTGAATTAATAGATTTTTTGTGCATAAATGTGTATGGTAACACTACGCTTTCTAAGTATTATTCTTTATAATGTCGGTATAAAAAACTCAATCTTTTCAGGGAATTACCAGGATTGTCTAAGTGACGTAAAAGCTGCAACAACACTACAAGCGTCTTATCTCAAGGCCATTATTAGAGGTAAAAATAAAAAGAAATTTGTAAATCTGAAACTTAATCTTAATTTGGCATTTTTTCTCGCTAAGCGAGCGGCCGAAGGCCCCGAGTGAAACGAATTTATAATCTCGTCGCGCGCGAAGCGCGCGTTTATCACGTGAACCACGCGTCGTCTTAACCAGATGCAAAATTCGATGCGCCATAAATCTGTGAATATATGCTTGGTGTCCGCCAAAGACGTCATGGAGCATTTTGCGTTTCCAGGCAACATAGACTTTTCCACAAATGACCGGCGCATTTTTATGTATTATTCATGAATGGCTCATGTGTTTTATAATATTCATCTATGAAACAATGTTTACAATCGGTGAATCACGAGCAATTTCCCATTCAGATGACACAGAACAACAAGCACAACCCGTGGCTAGAAATCCCCGATTTTTAACCGAAACTCCTCTGGAGAACGCCGACTAAAATTCGTCGTGAGCAGAGAAGACGACGACGACAAGAAGCCGCGTGCAAAGCGCAGAGAACATCGCTTAGCACAGACCCAAACCAGCAGATTTTCCCTCAACAGAAAACAAAGAAGTCTTTTGTTTTACGTCATCTTTGTCCAGTACACGAAGTTTTGAGTGGAATTGGGAACCATTAATATCTGGACAAATTAGAATTCATTTGGTCAGGAAAAGTGTACATTTGACTATCTGGGACTTTTAAAAACTATTCCTGTGACAACCATGTCTCAACAAGCTCATGCATGTTAAGAACTGAGAAACTGACGAACTTCAACATGAACTTGTATGTGGACGTACAATACAAATTCCACTCTTGCATGGATATTTGTTTCTCATGCATGTATTCAAATAAATGTGAACACTTTCATAAATGATTTGGTACTCTTTACAGGGATAATTCAGTGCTAATGAGGGTACCGCGTATTCAGTAATCATCATAATCAAAATTCTCCTCAACTGCATCCTTAATGACATTGCTACATGTAATTTCTATTTCAGTGTAAGTCAGTGATTATGTTTGCACCTTACTGTTAAAACAATTAGTTGTCAAGTGTGATTATCATACATGCCAACCCTCCCGGATACGACAACGATCTCCTCCCACACGGGTCACCAAATCTCCCGGATAAAATCGAGTTATGAGCTTTTCTGTGCTTTAATTTGAAATTTATCCCATTTTTTTTCCCAAAATTCGAATTTCTTTTGATTCAAAGTTCAGTTTCTGGGGCATCTCGCATGTATTTCATCACTGACAAAGATTATTTCCTATTACAATCATAAAAGCTATTGTGATGGTTCTGTACCTCATGTAAGACTCCATATAATGTCCTAAGCTGATAAGGGACTGGGTCGAACTGTGCTTATGGGGGAGGGCGGAGAGGGTAATGCAAAGGAAAGTGTGTCTAGATTTTAGATTTCCAGAGGTTGGCATCAGTCTGGATTATGTACCACAACAATAGTGCAAACACCCTCATTGCTGTAGTTCACTTAAGGTATTTGCACAGGCAAATTCTCAACATTTTATTTTGCACTCAAAATCTTTCTACAGTAAGTTCAGATGATGTAATATGCATATCTGGTGTTCTTTTTTGAATATACCTTCGCATTAAAGAGAAAATCTACTCAAAAGTTGACTGATTTACCGGAAGTTAAAGAAAAATTGTCATTTCCGTTACTAAGAAAATGGACGGCAGGAGCGCAATTTGACCCCTCTTTCCAGCATCAAGTTCTATTGATGCGCTGAACAAAATCTATTCAGTGCTTGGATTCATTGACAAACTGCCGCCGCTGTATGTCCAACTTGATTTTTCTTGCCTCTGTTAAAGCTGTGATGACTAATATTACTTGCTTCTTGTCAATATTTGTTATGTTCTTGAAATATACTCCGTTTTCCAGGGCTTATTATTGTTCTAAATTTACCTTACATCGGTGTGTCTTCTCACCTGATATATTCTGACAATTTTGCCGGGAGAGTATTTACGTTTTTTTGGCCCCTAATCCTCTGGTCTGTTTTTTCTGCCAATTTCTTTCACTTTACGGAAGCAATTCTTTTCAATTTTGAATAAAACTCTTCTCCAATCTTCATACTTTGGCGCACTTCACTGCATTATAGCTGACACTGAGTAATGCATCTTCCGGAAATGCGTCACACCTAGCAACTGGTCACGTATCAAAATCCAAGGGGGCTATAGAGAGGTCATTTGGCATTTTCTTAGGCTTCCGTGAGCATTTTGCATAGCGGTGATTCAAAATGGCGGGCAAGAAGGTCTGTGATGGTAGTATCAAGCAAAAACAGTTGATTTTGAGAGGAAAAAAAGCTTTTTTACACCGGAAAAGCGTTAATTACCGCGTGACCGATTTACCTTGACTTACGGGAACCAGTTTTTTGGAGGGATGGATCATTATTTCTTCGTGAAATTTGGCAAATACACAAAGAGCATGTTAATGAACAGATCCGTGTTTGGCCAAAGGTTAGAATTGCCGTACAGCTGAGTTATTGATGTCAAAATGTGGATCAGATTACAAAATAGCAAATTGTACCCTAGAGGGTGGATTAATTGGAGCTGTGTCATGGTCAAACACAGAATTATTCTATCTTACGTCCTTATTTGTGTTACATTTCTTTTTTAACAATAACTCTAAGGATTCTTCTGAAATTTTGATTTTTCTCTTTCCGTGCCACCCTAGGGGGTAATTAAATTAACACCTTTTGGGTGACATAACATAGCTTATTTTGATATATTCTAGTTCCTCAAGAACTGAGGAATACTGTCAATGTAGTGACATATAGATAGTAGCCATAAAATAACCACCAAAAATGATTCAAAAATGTGCAAAATTTGCCTGTGCAGATACCTTAACAATAAATATTTTACGTCAATTACCAGCATTTACTTGTTATTTTCAATGCACTACTAATGACACACTTCACAAGTAATTATGATTACACTTATTATAAAAGATAGCATTGGTTAACTGCATATTCACCTCTCTTTCATGCAGTTATTCACTATCACACCCATTTTCTTTTGACTATTTATTACGCATGTGGGAGGGTTACATGCGGTGAACACGGGACCTATGAAACATTGGGTACCCTTCCTTAACAACACCAACCCCATTTAAATCCCAGAACATACTTTTTAACGACAGAGCACTGGGTTCAAATTTACTCCAACTGAAAGGAGATTAAGTACATCTCACATTCCAATATTAGAGCCAGTGTTGAAACCCGCCCTCCCAAGCTACACAAATTACTCCCATTCTCTCCTCCCTTCCATCCCTGACATTTTATGGGCATCCCCCCGCCCCGAGCTTCTCGAGTTTCTGCGATACACGTATTTCTAGTAAATGAGTCGAACTATTTTCACTAGGGGCGAAAGCCTGTGTAAAGTTGAAGCAGTTTGAAGAAGCCATCATTTGGTGTGATAAAGGACTAGCTGTATCCTTTCTTAGTAGAATACAAATTTCACAGTACAGTTATTACTTCCTTGACTTCTAACAGGACACTACAATCTTATCTAAATGAGTTTTAATAAGTAAAGTCGGTTTAAATAAGTTACCTGTTGGTAAAGGGTTTTAGTAGCTTAAACAAACCGCTGTCGTTCATATGTACAATAAGGATTATCAATTATACAATGCAGTCGCTACTCCAACTAATGCTGCTATTGTCAGAACTACGACCTCTGCCGCCATTTAGGTTCTAGGCTTAGAACACAGATTATTTAAAACATCTTTACACTTGTAAGATTGATCCAGACAAGCAGGATCTCTTAGAGGTAAAGAGTCGCTCTAACAAAGAACGCGAAACGCTTCCAACTCTTGGAGGATACAAAGCAGAAAAAGCAGAGGGCGGTTCACGAACCCACCCAAAACCTCATGATGGCACATGTAAGTAAAACCCAAACAGAAATCATAACTCTTATCTATGTTTACATCAAGTAGATCAACTCTTCGTTCAGGGAACGTGGCCTTTTTTAGTTATTTGGCCTTTGCTCATTCACTTACGCGAAGAACACAAATGTAGTTTGATTATTATTTCAGCCATAGCAGAGACCCGAAAAAAGGCTGGCAATGATGCATTTCATAAAGATGATTTTAACAAGGCTATCAACCTGTACACCGAGGGAATTGAAGTAAAATGCAGGGATGAATGCCAAATTGTACAATAACAGGGCGACGGCCCACTATCACTTGGGTAAGTATCATTCATATCAACTTTACGCATCTTCATAATAATAATTAACAACTTAATCACTTATATTGCGCAGGTATTCATAAAAATGATCAAATGCACATTACATTAGTAATATTATTACTAATGTAATGAAAAGCATGAAAAAACCTACAAACCTATTTACAATAAGCAAACCAATAAGAATATATATATATATATATATATCCGCCATAAAAATCTAAAATATCGATATGCGACAAAACTCTTTCAACCATAAGCAAACTTAAAAAGGTACGTTTTACGATTGCTCTTAAAAGTATGCAAGGTTGGAATATCGCGAAGCTCACGCGGTAGAGCATTCCATAACTTGGGCGAAGTCTTCAACAATGCATTCTATTTCGTATCCACTATTCCGTGGTCTTTTCTACATGTATCCCTGCCTTTTTAGCCGATGACGCGTCTGGAATCTCAATTCCACTGTCTCCATTGATTTTTTTAGCGTGTAGTCTTATTTTGATATCCTCTTTTATCCTACCATAGTACTGGTCAGTGAGGGTCTCAGTCGATAAACGTAAAATTCTCTTCAAAGCCGATGGTGCGCGGTCTTATTTGCGTGTTTTGAAATGGATAGTATGCGAGTTTGTGAACGCCGTGACGCCTGGAAAAGGCTACACTCGCAAAAAATCTCAATAACTACAGTAATAGCCCGCGTATGAGAACCTGGGTTTTAAGAACCTGTTAGGCTAAAATTTTCATTTTAAGCCCCCTCCACATAAGAACCTATTTAGGCTAAAATTTTAAGTTAGGATCTTATTAGTGGGGTTGCAGTAAAAGTTTATAGGTAGAAACTGCTGAATTAAGATCATCATCTAGGACATATGCTGTACCTGCACTGAACTGCCTATATAGGCATTGCTCTATGGTACAAATAAATGATTTACACTGTACTATCAGATGATATTTATAATATATATAGTATATTCAGATAAAATTCATATGAAAATATAAGAACCTATTTTAAGAACCTCGGTAGCCTAAATTTGCTTTAAGTACCATTTATATAAGAACTTATTTAGGCTAAATTGAAAAATTCAGGTTCTTATACGCGGGCTATTACTGTACTCAATCTTGTTTTCGTGGGTCAATATTTAATCCTCAGAGAGCAAAAATAGTGATGTATAGCGCAAGTAATGTGTTGGATTTGAAGACGGCCCGACCTTATGCTACCTTTCAGGCACTACTCCTCAACTAAGCGACGCGTGGAAACAAAGAGTAAATGTTAAGCGCACGTCTTTCGAGTAAATAAGGTGTGCCGTAATTCTTTTTAACCTACTTTTATTGAACGTAGTTCTTCTTTTTCAGGGCATTATCACGATTGTCTTGGTGACGTAAAAGCTGCGACAGCATTACAACCCTCTAACCTGAAGGCAATTATCAGAGGTGAAAATGAAAGAAATTTGAAAAACTGAAACTTTATCTATATTTTATCATTTTAAATATAAAAACGACTTTTTTTACCAGGAGCGAACGCCTGTGTAAAGTTGAAGCAATTTGAAGAAGCCATCATCTGGTGTGATAAGGGACTAGCCGTATCCTTTCTTAGAAGAATACAAATTTCACAGTACAATTATTACTTTCTTTACTTTTGATAGGACACTACAATGAGCTTCTTTTTCAGCTTTCAGTAAGCAAGATTAAATCAGTTAAGTCGATTTCAATATTTTAAAGTAAACTGCTGGTAAAGCGTTTTAGCGGCTTACACAAAGAACAGTCGTTTATATCTCTTATATCTTTTAAAAACGAGCCAAATGAAATTTACCGCAATTTGATTGAAAAAGGGTCAAAAGACGGGTTTTTTGCGCCCAATAAGATCAAAAATCACACTAGCGAAAAAAAGGAGAAGAGAAATAGAAAGAGCGAGGAGGGAGAAAAGAGGAGAAGAGAAATGGTTGCACTCTTAGTTTTACATTGTCTACTTTGGAGTTTTTGGCCAAAAAAACTGCTTGAAGGACGAGTTCTATTTGGCGTTAGCGTTTTCAAAAATCTAGCTGTGGGTTAACAAAAAGGATTATCCACTAAAAAAACAGCTGCTACTTCAAATAATGCTGCTACTGTCATAACTAAGTTCTAGGTTTAGAACACAGATTAGATTAAATACCTTTACTCTAGCAAGATTGAGCCAGACAACCAGGATCTTTTAGAAATAAAGACTTGCTCTTACAGAGAACGTCAGAAGCTTCCAACACAGGGAGGTGACCAAACAGCAAAAGCAGAGGGAGATTCACGAACCAACCCAAAACCTCTTGAGTGCACATGTATGTAAACCCAAATAGAAAGCATGACCATTACCCAGGTCTTTACATAATAAGGTGGATCAACACTTCGTCAAGCAACATGGCTTTTTCCACTGCCAATTAATTAATTAAGGAATGAATAGTCCCAATATAAAAACTGAATTGAAAAAGCGCAATTTCAAAGCAGGCTCACGTTAAGGCAGCAGTTGTAAGCGTAAGCAACTGTGCGAGAGCCTTAATTTGTTTTTAAACAGGTTGTACACGTTTAAAGTTAATTTATTCGTCCATGGAGCTGGACGGCGGCTCGATGAAAGAAGCAGTGCAGACGGCTGCTCGCAGTGGTTTCTCTCCCTTTCTAGCGTAGCGCCCGGCCTGGAGAAACCACTGCTCGCAGTGTAATCATTCAGTTTACTTACAGGCAGAACACAAGACTCAGTTTTGTATTAATTTTATGTTTCAGCAATAGCAGAGACCCGCAAAAGTGATGGCAATGATGCTTTTCTTAAAGGTGATTTTTTCAAGGCTATAAACTTCTACACAGAGGGAATTGAAGTGAAATGCAAGGATGAGGATCTGAATGCCAAATTGCACAACAACAGGGCGTCAGCCCATTATCACTTGGGTAAAGTATCATGCAGGTTTATATCACGCATTGTCAGCATTGCATTTTCTACCGTTTCCACAACAGAACTCGAGGATAATGGTCCTGTGATTCTCTTTTGTTATCCAGCATTCTGTTGTCTGTTCTGGGTCGAGACTTTATACATACTGACGCGCTATATTTGCGCTCAATACCTTCGTCTTTAATAAAAGAGGATAGTGCTCGGTCTTATTTGCTTGTTCGGGAACGGCTGAGGTATGAGCTGAAAGCTGTCTGTCCCGAGACCAACCTATCGAACCCAAATGTTGATCTTTCAGAATGCAGCCAGCTTGCCTGGGCGTCCCCAGCCCTTCCGTCCAGAGTCTCCCCTCCCCCTCCCTTAGAGTCTGAGCGTATTGATGTACGTTCACGTGTCGACCAAAATTTCTAGCACCAGTTCGTCTTTTTCAGGGAATTATCATGATTGTCTTGGTGACATAAAAGCTGCGACAGCACTACAACCGTCTTACCTGAAGGCACTTATCAGAGGTGAAAATGAATGAACTTTGAAAATCTGAAAGTTCATCTATATTTTATCGTTTTAAATATAACATCTACTTTTTTACTAGGAGCGAATGCCTGTGTAAGGTTAAAGCAGTTTGAAGAAGCCATCATCTGGTGTGATAAGGGACTAGCCGTATCCTTTCTTAGAAGAATACAAATTTCACAGTACAATTATTACTTTCTTTACTTTTGATAGGACACTACAATAAGCTTCTTTTTCAACTTTTTGTACTAAGCAAGATTAAATCAGTTAAGTCGTTTTAAATAGGCAAAATTTTGGTAAAGCGTTTTAGCGGCTTACACAAAGAACAGTCGTTTATATCTCTTATATCTTTTAAAAACGAGCCAAATGAAATTTGCCACAATTTGATTGAAAAAGGGCCAAAAGACGGGTTTTTTGCGCCCGATAAGATCAAAAATCACACTTGCGAAAAAAAGGAGAAGAGAAATAGAAATAGCGAGGAGGGAGAAAAGAGGAGAAGAGAAAAAAGCAATGGTTCGTTGCACCCTTACTTTTACAATGTCTACTTTCGGAGTTTTTGGCCGAAAAAACTGCTTGAAGGACGACTGAGTTCTATTTGGCGTTAGCGTTTTCAAAAATCTAGCTGTAGGTTAACAAAAAGGATTATCCATTTAAAAAAACAGCTGCTACTTCAAATAATGCTGCTACTGTCATAACTAAGTTCTAGGTTTAGAACACAGAGTAGTTTAAATATCTTTACTCTAGCAAGATTGAGCCAGACAACCAGGATCTTTTAGAAATAAAGACTTGCTCTTACAGAGAACGCCAGAAGCTTCCAACACAGGGAGGTGACCAAGCAGCAAAAGCAGAGGGAGATTCACGAACCAACCCAAAACCTCTTGATTGCAGATGTATGTAAACCCAAATAGAAAGCATGACCATTACCCAGGTCTTTACATAATAAGGTGGATCAACACCTCGTCAAGCAGCATGGCTTTTTCCTCTGCCAATTAATTAACCAAGGAATAAATAATCCCAATAAAAACTGAATTGTTAGAGCGCAAATTCGTAGCAGGCTCGCGTTAAGGCAGCAGTTGTAAGCGTAAGCAACTGCGCGAGAGCCTTAACTTGTTTTTAAACAGGTTGTACATGTTTAAAGTTAATTTATTTGTCCATGGAGCTTGACGGCGGCTCGATCAAAGAAGCAGTGCAGACGGATACTCGCAGTGGTTTCTCTCCCTTTCTAGCGTAGCGTCCGGCCTGGAGAAACCACTGCTCGCAGTTTCAGGCAGAACACAAAACTCAGTCTTGTATTAATTTTATATTTCAGCAATAGCGGAGACCCGCAAAAGTGCCGGCAATGACGCTTTTCTTAAAGGTGATTTTGTCAAGGCTATAAACTTCTACACAGAGGGAATTGAGGTGAAATGCCAGGATGAGGATCTGAATGCCAAATTGCACAACAACAGGGCGTCAGCCCATTATCACTTGGGTAAAGTATAATTCAGGTTTATATCATGCATCGTCAGCATTGCATTTTCTATCGTTTCCACAACAGAACTCGAGGATTCTCTTTTGTTATCCAGCATTCTGTTGTCTGTTCTGGGTCGAGACTTTTAAATACTGACGCGCTATATTTGCGCTTAATACCCTCGTCTTTAATAAAAGAGGATAGTGCTCGGTCTTATTTGCTTGTTCGGGAACGGCTGAGGTATGAGCTGAAAGCTGTCTGTTCTTAGACCGCCTATCAAACCCAAATGTTGATCTTTCAGAATGCAGCCAGCTTGCCTGGGCGTCCCCAGCCCTTCCGTCCAGAGTCTCCCCTCCCCCTCCCCCAGAGTCTGCACTTATTGATGTACGTTCACGTGTCGACCAAAATTTCTAGCACCAGTAGGCCATTTCCGAGTTTTCCTGGGCCTCTGCATCAAAACGAGGTTAAGTGCTCAGCCTTTGATATCGAAAGGATTTGTCATTCTTATGCAAATAAAACTCATTTCCATGAGAAAGGTTGAGTACTTGGCCTCATTTTTTGGAACTCCGAGGTGGTGTATTAGAAAAGGCTTGAAGATTTGCCATTTGCACATCTCCCATAATACAACTTGTTTGCCCCCACCCCCAAAAAAAAAAAAAAAAAATCATAAGTATTGTCCTCAGTTTATCTTGGGAAGTCTCTAATGCCCAAGAGCAGGAGAAAGTAGAAACCAAGGTTCTGCATATTTTGGGGGGGTCAAACAAGGTAAAGGTGTATTATGGGAAATTGTTTAATGGCGAATATAAGCATTGCACCCTCTCGGCAACATTGCAGTGCTTATTGTTTTTATTGCTTTTTGTTAGGAGATTGTCAATGCTGATGTAACTTACTATTATTTTTGATTTCATTATGGGTCTGAATCTGTAATTCTCTTTCTTTATTAAAGGTGATTATCAGAATTCCCTGAGTGACGCAAAAGCTGCAGTATCGTTACAACCTACTTACCTAAAGGCTATTGTTAGAGGTAACCATTTAGATGTCTTTAATACCTTTATTAACACTTCGTTTTTACATAATAATTACAAAGCAGGCTGGCAATTACTGAAGAGCTTATCGCGGCATAAACATTTTAAATACAATTATAACATATGTACTCATTACACCTCCCATTTTGTAAATATTTAGAAAGATTAATTATTAAGAAGAAAACAATTAGAACAAAAGAGAAAGATGTAAAGAGGAAAACTACAAACTGGACTTAATTTATTTTAATGAATTAGCGTATGTACTTTAAGCGTTAGACTTATTTTGAAATTTATTTATTTAGTTATTTTATCGCTTACACCATGGTTGCAATACTATAAAATATACATTTGAACAAATTCAGTACAAGAACAAGCGGCGATGGTGCGCGGGACACACAACAGGGCGTATCTTCCAATGTCAGTCGTGCCCTTAAGGAAACTACACAAAATAACTTACTATGCTCAATAACATAACATTACTACTTCGCACCGAGGCTTCAAAGTTTGACACCAAATAAGTGTATCACTCAACCATCAACCTCATAGCCTTTTATGCCGATAACGACATAGCCTTTTTTTTGTCTCAAGCTCATCAAAAATACAGGGAATCTCATAAAGATAAAGCCACGCGCTATTTTAGGTGGTTTATCGTTTTGACAGGTATCAGTAGATTGGTCAGAATGATATCACCCACAATATTATGCCAGTCCTGTTTCCTGTCGCTTTCATTGTCAACCCTATCAAAGGGAATTTCCTGGAAAAGTTCTTTTTAAAAAAGATGGATCTTTGGAAGCTGAAACCCGTCTATTAGATACCTTTAATTAGGAAGAAGATCGTGAAACTCCCTCGAATGAGCCTTACGTTTCAAAAATAACAAGAACAAAAAAGGTTCAAAAGCAGTTGAGGCATAAAAAACAGGAGCAAAGAGGACGGTACGTCTGTTAAAACTGGTTTAATAACAATTCATTGATCCATAATTCTCTATTCAATGTTGTTTCTTTCAAAAAACTGAAAAATAGTAACATGCTGGAAAGCAGCTAAGGAGGTTTCAATTCAAGTTCCACGCTTAAAGATATCGCGCATATCTTAAAAGTGGCTTAAAAGCATCAATAATTGAAGTCGTCAATTTCCTTTTAGGGGCGACTTCCTGTTGGAAATTAAAAGAGTTTGAAGAAGCCGTTGAGTGGTGTGATCAAGGACTATCAGTATCCTTTTATTTATTAGCCTTCAGTGCAGGCGTATTTTGGGTGGGGGAAACCTTGCTCGTGTTCGTAATATTGTTGTAGCCGCCATCTTTGATTTTCTGACAGTGGAAGATTGGGGAGAGTAGAAATAGCAACCCTTACGATAGGTGCGAGGGCGAAAGAAGGAAAGGGAGGAAGGGGAGGGGAGAAAAAAAATACGCTGTTTTCTCTTCTCTCTCCCCGCCCCCTCCCCAGTCATTTTCATGACTACACCTTAACAGTTATTTCTTGGCTTCGCAAGTTGAAATGGAAACAAGTTGGGGTTTATTCTTCAAATGAGAGATCAAATTTGGTATTGTGTGCACGTAATGCATATTATTTAACCTAATTTTAGAACCTGAGGGTGTTACCAGTAGGGAGGGGCCATCTCTAAGGTAAACATCGGTTCACTCATCATTGCCAGTGTTGCGTCACATACCAACAGGCGAGATCTTGAGGGTCGCTTGTGCAGATTTTCAAGCGACACCATAGTCATATTCGAACAAGAGAGGTCGGGGATAAGATTAAAAGCTAGGCAAATATTGCTATGCATCGCTACTTTGATCGTAGGTGTGTGAGCTTTGTTGTTACTTTTATCCGCTTGTGTAAACCTTTTTGGTATTTTCTGCCTACTCCGTAATTGTGTAATTTGTTAATTTGTGTCGCGGGCCGTGTTGCGGATCATCATCTCCTTTACGGGACCAGCAAGGGCATGAGAAATTAGTTCATTTTTTTCTCTAAAATAAGCAACATCAAGTGTCCAGAATAGGAGGTTCGTTTCAGAGGTCACACACGTTTACATTCCATATATTCTTTCTTTAATTAAAATCGACCGTACTTCTCATCAATCTCTTCGAGTGTGGGCCTCTGTTTATTTCTGAATTCTTCATTAAATTGAGTACAGCTAGTTTGATCGATTTTCTACCACAATCAGCCTTTTGGACCCGAAATAATGCGAAATAGCTTTGAAATACGTGCTTAAGCTATTTTTTCTCAAATGTTTCTTTGAATTCATGATAAATACGGCTCTACTAGCTTAAAACAGCGTCTATAGCAGAGAACATTGGTTTTAATATAACAAATTTACTTTCCCCAAAAACTGACTGGCACCGTGGTGCAGTGGTCAAGGAGTTGTTTGCAGGCGGCAGATGAACTAGGTTCGACTCCCGGCGATGCTGTTTTCCGTTTCTTTATTATAATGTTTTCTATTTAGGTTTTGAGTTTTAATCTTGTTTATTACCTTTGGCTTATTTCCCTTTATTCTTACTCTTGACTCTTTACAGCTTTGCGAGATTTTCGCGATAACGTATTTCTAGTAACTTGGTTTTTTTTGTGTGGTACAACGTAAAAGCCCTAGCTATAGGTAAACCACACAAATGCCAAGTTACTGGAAATACGTTATCGCAAAAACCTCGCAAAGAGTCAGTAGTAAGGGTAAGTAAGGGTAAGCAAGCCAAAAGGAAAAACAGGATTGAAAAACAAAAACTAAACACAAAAAAATGTACAAATTGAAAATCAAAAGACTGCTTCGCCGGTAGTCGAACCTAGAGTAGTTCATCTGCACCTGGTAGTAACTCCTTGACCATTGCACCACGGTACCACTCAACTTTACTTTGGTGAAGTAAATTTGTTATATTAAAACTATTTTTCTCTGTCATAGACGCTGTTTGAAGCTGGTAAAGCTGCATTTATCATGAATTCAAAGAAAAATTTGAGAAAAAATTAGCCTAAGCACGTATTTCAATATTAGCGGGATTTGAGGCAATGAGAAGCAATAAATATATTGAATGATAATGATATAATAATTATAAAAGCAAATTATAATTATTACGAAAAAAATCTCCCAGAATCCTTTGACGCCATTTTTTGAAAAGCTTCATAACTTTGACAATTTTATACGTAGAAGACTGACAGACCACAACAAGATAACATTTGCCATAAAATATCTTCTCATGTCGCATCTAAGGTAATAACGTTATGAGTCACGTGACTATCGCCGAATTAGGTTTTTTTTGTTGCCGTGACAAGATTTCATAAAAAGTTAAAAACAAACAGCATATTTGAGATTTAAGATGTGTTGGGCATTTAAAAATAACCAGTTGACGTCTGGCATTTGAAATTTAAGGGGGTAATGAACATGAGCGAAAAAGTCGGGAGACTGGGCCAAAGCTGTAGAGAGTCTGGGTAAACCTTTCATCACACGGCAGGAGAAAATTTGCAGGAAAGTAATGTTCTAACTGATAATTTTTCTCATGACCAAAAGAGGGACATGACGTCATCAGTCACGTGATCAAAGCGTTTTGAATGTTTTAGTTCGTTTTTAAAGTACCCTTTTTGTCTTAAATAGGCAAGTTTGGGTTGTTTTTCTCAACAATTCTTTACACTGTATTGTCTCTGAGTAATTATTATTCCATTTTTAAAGCAGAAGCAAACAAAAACTGAGTCAGAAGTTTAAAAGGTGCGTAAATTGACCGATATCGCAAGTTAAAATCGAAAAGGAGACTTTTTTTTTAGGCTTTTGTAAAATCCTTTTTCAACTTAACTGTTTGTTTGCCGAAATAAATGTTCAACGTCTGTTAATAAAGGAGACCTTTTTAAGCTAAAAGGATGTATTTGGAGGCAATATTGTTTTTCTTCATTCCGGGGAGACAGATCATGTAGCAACCAAAGCCAAATGGTTTGCTACCCTGACCTAAAACAATGGAAATAATGACAAACAAATTTTCGCCGACCGGTGAAAAGACACCTTACAAGCAGGATAGGTGTGTGCCACCCAGGGATAATCAAAGGCAGCGCAGGTTGCTTTTGCCCCTCTCTCAAAGCTAACTAGGGTGAAAGGAATGTGTACTCACTTTATCGTTTGAATGAATATATACCCATGTTGGGGGCTGTATTTCCCATATATTTACTCAGGGTGTTTTTTCGTAGCTGAAACACAAGTCCATTGTTTGCGACTTTTTAAAACCTTGTTACCGAACTTGACCATCCCAAGATTGACAATTTTAACAAAACGCTCTTAGAAATAAGAAGGTCATCTGTAAATGTTGAATATCAGCTCCCAGAAAAGCAAAACGAGACTCCAAAGAGGTCAGAGGTTACCAGTGTGGAAGAAACGGTAAGTGGTTAGTGTACATAACATACGAGCTGGATTTCTGATAGTCCAAAGATTTCCTACGGCCATTGCTTGATTCGAAGGGGATCACATCGTATCGCATCGCTTCCTCTTCAGCGCCCGCTCCCAATCTCTCATGACCTGACTCAAACAATTTTAAGACCTCTTACCTTTCTTGACGCTCTTTTCTCCGTTAGAGACCGTAAATGATCTAATAGACGCCGGGGGCGTATATTTAACGGCCGTTTAGTAGTCCAGGAGGGGGCATTTGATAGATAGGAGGCGTTTAAAGAAAGACTCGTTTATTCAGTCTCATACCTGCAGCAAGCTCAACGAAGCTTATAATAAAAGCAATTGACGTCAATATAATAAATTGTCTAAAAGAAATCAAGCGCTCCGCCAGAAGGAAACAAGGTTGAATTCCTTGAAGGACAATTTACTTCAACTTCAACTTTAACCAGCAAGAACAATACAATACAATACAAACTTTATTGACACTCTCTAAAGAGGGATTTTCAGTGACAATAATAATTAATTAAAAACGAGAGTAAAGCTAAAAATTACAATAGTATAAGGTTTTATAAAAAATATTAAGAAAGCTAAAACGTTAATAAATATTCACGAGAATTACAACTGAAATAGAAACTTCAAAAAATGAAATATATATGATATAAACTAAGACCGATAACATAGGAAAGCAGCAATTAATTTGGCTCTAAGTTTACGCTTAAAATTACGAGCAGAGTTACAGAGTTTAAAAGAATTGTCCAAACTGTTCCACAGACTTACCACAAGGTAAAAGAATGTCCTTTATCCAGATTAAGATGATTTAAATAAGGGTACGTATTTGCAAGAGTTGGGAGCTTCTGGTCGTGCGACCACCACGTGTTAGAAACTTCCATGAGATCGGGATAGGTAGGAGCGGCCTCGACGAACAACACCCTCCGATCTCCATAATTCTTCATATGACTCGAAAGCCGAATTCAATAATGGTTTTGTTATTCATTCAAAATAATTCCTACTTTAAAAACATAGCTAAAACATGCTTACCTCCATCGATGCTAAGTTCATCTTCGATAGTGCATGTTTAGGGTTGTTCAGCTCCGAAAATATTCTCCAAATAGCAGATGTCGCCCTTCAAGTTGTCTTCTTGCTGTTCTTGCCATGTTTTTAGCTATTATTTTGCCTAGTTATTACTCTTGAAACGAGTGAAATGTCCGCCATTTTTGTTTCCACAACCAAAACAAGTCAACTTCGTCCCCAGGTCCTCTCGGTTAACGGTGCATAAACCTGCAAGGAAGCTGCACTTTTGAAGTCATCGGTTGACTAATCGCAAAATTCTTCCAAATTTGGTCATCAGTAGCTGGTGATGGTAAACAAAGCGCGTGCTTTTAGCCAATCAGAATCGCGAAAATATTTTGAATGAGTAATAATGCTTTTTAAATACATTCTGTCATCATTAGCAAAACCCGATCCATGTTTGTTTGAAAGTAATTGTACAAATCTGGTACCAGACAAACCGTTTTTAAAAAACAAAACTAGCTTATGTCTATTTCTCATTAATTTCACTTATAAAAACAAATAAGTACTTTCATCAGTTTTCCCGTTTCTTTCAAAACATCCTTCATTTCCGGGCGTTTCACTGTAGTCAATGAAAGACACGTTTTAGCAGTCTTCTTTTAGGCGGGAATATCTTAATTTCCATTTTTCTAAACGCAATGAACCAAAGCTCGCAGGGTACCAAAGCGTCAAAGGCGCACGATGCAGTGCTGGTAGTTTTGTGAGCACCCGTTAAAAATATTGAACGCCAAAACTATCAAGTTTTGGTGCAACGAGGGACAGTTAGTTTCTGTACCCAAAGGTCAGTGCATGGACAGGCTATCGAAGGAATACAAGAGGGATGCTTGCCCAATGGTTAGCAGGCCTATCTACGCAAATAAATGTCTCATTACATCCTTGTCTGCAAGCGAAGTTACTACTAAATTTACTCTCTAGAGTACATTATACAACCCAATCAGTAACACTTTGCAAGTAGAATTGACGATCAGTGTGGGCAATTCATATTTTTAAGGGACGTCCGTCGTACAAAGGCCTAACACGCGGCGGTTTTTAGTCAATGACTGACATAAGAGTTTACTCAAAATCGACCCAGTTAGCGAGCGATAATGTACGCGTGAATTTTGCCTACGACTGGCAATAAGCTGAATAAACCGGAAGCTGAACACTTTGAATAAGTTACTAAATCAAATCGCTCAGGATTTTTGGTGGATGTTAAAATTCGTATTTTCTCAAGTACCGGAGAGGTTTTTCGAGCATTCTCTTGCGCAGTTTGGCAGTGATATACCGAGCATCAGACAGGTTACGCACCGAAAGCCACCATTTTACTCTTCTTCTACCCAACGGTTTTCCTACAATGGTCTTAGTACTGGTCCCGTTGCCGAAGCCATGCACGAGCAAGAAACGGTCAACTTGAAAGAATCGATATTGTACTCGGGACAAGAAAAGGTCGCCGTCGAAGAAACAACTGGTGCAATGCAAGAGCTTCAAGCTGCTGAGAATCATCAATTCTGGATTACAACCAGTGAAGGAACTCCTGAGAAGCGTCCAAATTATAAAGGAACTTTGGAGGCCAGTCAGCCACGGTGATTGTCGCACCACGAATAGAGTAGAATGAACTTGTTGGCCTGGTTTTTTCTTTGCCACAAATCACGGAAAACTATCCAAAATTTTTTCCAGAAGGTGTCACTATGAACTCTGAGAAAATGAAAATTCAATAATACTATGGTTGACGACTGACAGTTTAAAGAGAGACTACCCTCACCTCAGAATCTTGGGCGCGCCGCCTGTAAGCTCTGAGGGAGAGGGTAGGCCCATTATTAATTTGGCCTATTTCAAAAACAAATGACACTACAAAAATAACCTACAATGATAATTTGGATGATGACAGACATTTTAAAGACTACTTTCCCCTTAGAATCTTGGGCGCGCCGCCTGTACGATCTGAGGGAGAGGGAAGCTCCATAATTTGGTCTATGTAAAAAACAAGTAACAATACAAAGATAACCTGTAATAATAATTTTTGGATTATGATTGACATTTTAAGGAGACTGAAATGATTGATATAAAGACCATATCTATCCGTGACGTTGATTATACAGCAGATCGCCCAGGCGAAGACGAAGATGTTGAAGTGGAAGAATATCTGGTCTGGAGTAAACCAGCGTAATGGGCTGGGCGTAATGCTAGCAAATAAAATTTTGGCGGCATTTCGACAGTGCTTGGCGGGTTTTTGGAGAGTGATTTGCCTTTGATTTGATTGATCAGAAAGGTCGTCCATTAAATCAGATGATCGGTCTTGCTGTTCTTCAAGGAGATATGAAGTAGAGCTCGAGCTCTCGCATTCGTTTACACCGGCGACTATAAAAGCTGCATTGTTGACGGCCTTTCTCAAACGTTCTGAGAGAGAAGATTTTAAAAAAATTCTCTGGTCAGCGTCTTTTTCATGCAGAACTCCTGCCAAACTGGAGAAAGCCGTGCCAGCAGAGAGTGTATAATTCCTACTTGTGATTCCTCAGTAAAATCTACGCCGACTCGCCGTTTTCGCCTCCAAGGTCAACTATGTTGACGCGGCATACTACTCTTGAAAGAAGTTGAATAAGCCATTGGAGCAATATTTTCTTAAAAGAAAGCACTTAAAAAATCATTGGTTAAGCTGGGTTAAGGTAACCCTTGGTTAGTACGAAATTTGAACTCAGATATGAGAGCTTAAAAAGCAAATTCAGTTAGATTCTCTTTGCCTACAATTTGATGATTGGATACTCTAAATAGAATAGAGAAAATTATACGAGAGAGTGCTTTTGATAAAAAGAAAACGAACCCCGGGTTAAAATTTAACCCTGAGTTAGCGCTAACCGGCTTTCGAACAAGTGGGCCCTAAGGTGGTTGCTGTGGAGATTAGGCCTCCTCGCGCGCGCATTAAAATTGGGCTCGCATAAGTTGGCTATATATCGAAACTCAGTGTGGCGAGAAGAGATCGAGCCAGCTTGGAGTGAGCATGAAGGCCCTGCCCTGGAAAATCGTTTATTAAAAACGGATAAATAATCCCGGCCGGTGTTTAAGTTTATGAGGAACCGTTCATTAGGAGAGAGGAGGGGAGGGCTTGAGCAAATGGAGGAAAGCCTCTTAAAAATTTACTGATTCTCCTCCTTGTTGAGCACATTTTTTGTTATTTTTACAATCGAACCTTGGTTGCCCTCCTCCCCAAACTTAACAAGTGCTGGCGAAGGAAAAATTTTCTGTTAAATCAGTGGTCAATGGGCAGCCCCCATGGCTAGGCATTGAGTAAATTTAGCAACAAAAGTCGCCTTTGGACTTGGTATATATGCGACCTGGTATTTGGTTCTAGTTTGTTTTTTTTTTTTAGAGTAAAGGGTCCTGAAAAGAAATAGTAAACAGTCGAATAATGAAGAATTTTACGTGAATTAAGAAATGGTAAACGTGCAGCGTGCAACCATGGAGTTATGGATGCACGCGGGAGGTTGCTAAGCACGAAAGAAGCGTAAGAGTCGCACGAGGCGATAGCCGAGTGCGACTCTAGCTTCTTGAGTGCTTAGCAAACCTCCCAAGTGCATCCATAACTCCATGGTTGCACAGCTGCAACGTTTACCATTTCTTTTATAACATAATCAAAAGAGAAAAACATTATTTTCCATTTGCCTTCGGTTGAGTCATCGATCCGAGTTCATGTATGCTGCCATCTGCCCGCGCGTAAACAAATCATGTTCTATGTTTTTCAAAAACTTGCCTTTGAGTTTTTCTTTCGCTGAATCAACCGTTCTCCGTCCTCAGGTAAATTGCAAAACGTTTTTCGTTGTTATTCTGAATGGCATCTGTCTACTTGCTCTTAATATTAGGGTAAAAACTTTGAGGGAAAACTATAGCCGCAACTATAAACACCAACTAAAAGGACTGTAAAAAATAAGGTAAAACTAAATAAATGAAATAATTATCAAGCTTATTTATGTGACAATTTTTGAAGTAAACGCAACGTAGAAATGAGAAAATTTGACTGTAATTCCTTTAGAATAACAGGTAACACTAATTTTAAAAAGAAATTAACTAGCTTTGTATCGAAATCTGTCTGGGGAAATCAAGCTATGAAAGTGAAAGTTGAAACTGAAATTCGCCGACACACAGCCGGCGCTGAAGCTGTTGTTTTTCGACCGTTCTCCGAACGACTGTTATGAATGAACACTGAGGAACAAAATAATACACACAGAAGTTATTTTTTGAAAAATTTATTTGAAAACCCAAATGTTTCTGTACTCAAATGAAATTCGCTTATTCCAGCGTTATGCGCCCGTTTAAACTCAACTAAAATTTTTAATCGATGCGATGAAAACTTCACAACAAAGCTGTCTCGAATTTGAGCGTGGTTCCTAAAATATTTGCTTGAATTTAGCATCAGCTTGACCAAAAAGTCAATAACACAATGCTAATTGATAATTTTCCTTTCTATAAAAAACACACAAAATGTACCTTAAATCTTCGCTCGCTCGATTTTCCTTCAGCAGATTCTAGCCGCGAGGAAAACAGTGATTCATTCATCCAGGGCAAATTTGTCGCTTGATCTTTTGTCTTTTTTCCTTCAAAACGACAGCTTAGTATTTTCTTCAACTTCCACTTTTCATCTGTGCATTTCATCGGTATATTTTACCGTTAGGAGAGGAGATTTGTTGAATTTGCCTAAATTTTACCGCGCTAGCTCAGTTTCTTAGCGTGCACCCACGGGAAAATGGTAGTGGCTGACTGACCAATCAGAGCGCGCGATTTAGTTTTGTTATGTTATAAGGTAAAATTCATTCTGCGTGCATAGAGCAGCTATTTGTTCCAAAGGTTTTTTTTTATTTCACGCTATCACTGATAACACTGATAGTGTCGATGGTGGATAACACGGAGAGAGCACGAGAAAGTCATACGGATTACAGGGTGACAGTTGCAAGAAACTGCCATTTAATCTAGGAAATAATCAATTCTGTATGTACGTTTAGAACTTCAGACCAATATTTATACCCACTTAAGTCCTTAGGGTGGTCCTTTTTGTAGATCAAAAACCGATGCCACATAGCCAACAAAGATGCTACAACACTTAAGAAATGGTAAACGTGCAGCGTGCAACCATGGAGTTATGGATGCACGCGGGAGGTTGCTAAGCACGAAAGAAGCGTAAGAGTCGCACGAGGCGATAGCCGAGTGCGACTCTAGCTTCTTGAGTCAAAAATAGTCAAAGGGAAGGGATACGATGGGAAGAGAATATGAAAAAATCTGCTTCACAAAGAGGCGGGTCAGTAAAATTTGAAGTAGGTTTTCCTCCATTTTCTCAATTCCTTCCCTCCCCTCTCTGATCGGTTCCTTGTTAACTTACTCACCCACCGGGACTATTTATCCTTTTTTTTTTCTTTTTTTGTGGGCATGAAGGCCCTTGAAAATCGGGCTCGGTCCCCTAGATCTCGCCACAGTCAGTTTTGTTATCTAGCCAACTTTATACTTATGTGTAGAATTAGTTACAGGTGTGATCTCTTAGCGCACATCGCATGATTCCGACCGGTCAATGACATTTATTGTTTCTTATGGAGCCTATTTGCAGAACCCAATCGATCCACTCGTAACTGCGTTTCAGTTTTATTGAAAATCAAATGCTACGGTTTGCTTATTTAGTAGGTTTTTTCTTTTACGCGTCTCAGCTTCGAGAACAAGCCAGAACGAATGCAGCTGTCTGTGTTTTTTGGAATTGGCTTCGGTCTCTGATTGATTTCAGATTTGCTGATTGCCGGATGATCCGAATTTCCTCATTTCCGGGTTTCTACACTTCCTTATAATTTGACAATTGTAGAGCCTATTGAATAGAAGGTTAATTCGAGGTTGTAGCACTTAAATAGCTTTTTTCTGACCCAAAATAAAACCTGCTTAGTTCATTTTCGATTCTTGAGCAAACTCTCACCTCTGGACAGTTGTTTTACGTAGCTATTTAGCTCGAACCGCGACACAGTTTCACCTGTTTTGACCTTCGGATTGTCAGCATGGGATTCAAATATGACCGCATAACAGTAATTTTTTAAGGTTCATTTACAGGAATGTTATGGAGTCTGGCATCTCAGGGATTGTGGCTCAATTTGTGAGTCAGTGCCAGCAATGAATCAGTTAAGCCGTACTTTTGACAAAATCTGCTTGAGATAGATCAGTTACGCTAGAGCTGAAAATATCGCATAAGCTCGCTTATTATATAGCTGAGTCTGTTTTCGCCATGCGATTGGTCAATTTGCGGTCCGTAACTTGCTATACGGACCAAAATTTTTAAAGAAAATGCTCATTTCGGAGGTCTAAATCTCTTTACCTCGGAAAAAAGGTTTAAATAAAGTTATATTATAAGACGCCTGTCAACCTTGAGGACTTGGATGTTGACTTTGGCCTTCAACATTTTAAACTTTGTTTATTTGTGAACGAAGGCGATGAAGAAACTAACTCGTAATCTTATCGAAGAGGATTCTAGTCAGTGTTTGAAAATTTTATCGCAGTACACGGCTAAGAAGACGAAAATCGACTGGCAGAGACTCGAGATGTTTTGCCTAAGAGAAATGAGTAATTCCTTCGACACATATAATAACAAACATAACTGCACCCGATTATCTTGACAAGCTTCTTTGCCGTTTGCCTTGTTTTTTCAAAGACCAAAGAATGAAAGATAAAAGCGAGTTCGAGCCAGACACAATGTCCAGTTTTCAACAGACTCCAGCGTCACACTAACGAGTGAATACTTACAGTGCTCTTAGTTTTGACCGAATAAACTTTAAAATATGTCTGTAGACCCTAAGGACTGGGATGTTGACTTTGCCTTTCCAAATTTTAACCTAGCTTTGTTTTAAAGAGAACGAAGCTGATGTACAAACTGAATCGTAACCTTACCGAGGAAGAGAATTTTAGTCAGTGTTTGAAAATTTTAACGGCAGATCACAATTGAAGACGAGAATGAACTGGCGTAAAGAGAGGTTTTCCCAAAAACAATTAACGAGCGAATCCTTTGACAATGACAACAAACGTACCTTGAAAAGCTCCTTTGCCTTTTGCAGTGTTTTTTTACAAGGACAAACGGAGGAAATATGGAAACGACTTCTAGACAGACACAGTGTTCGATTGCCAAAATACTCCAGTGTTACATTAAAAAGCTAAAACTTACAGTGCTCTTAGTTTTGACTAAATAAACTTTTTCAACATGGCGAATTTGTTTTTACTTTCTCGGAAAGCCTTTGTTATGTGCTATTGTTTTCGTGCGCCAATGAAAACTTTCTTTTTTGACGCCAGTCAAATGACTGTCAAATCGTGCGTCCTGCACTTGTTTCCGGTCCCCCAAACAGGAAGAAGCCATATAACAAACACCTTAGTAGCCTCGTTTTTTCGGTCCGTACTCTAAATTACGGACCGAGTTTTTTTCCATCGATTTATGGTCTGCGCGCTTCGCGCTTGGGCCATAAATCGATGGAAGAAAACTCGGTCCGTAATTTAGAGTACGGACCGAAAACTCGGCTAATAAGAGGTATATATGCGTTGATACAAACGGTCATAACTTTTAAAATACTGAAATTGTACATGGGTTTTCGTATATTCTTAATAACAGATTATCTGTCTTTTCGTCTGTTTGGTCTAGAACGTTCAACTAGGTCCCAAAGGTCAGAAATAAGCTTTTAAGCCTGGGTCATTTTTGACCTTTCGCGTCGCTACTATATTGTGCTTGATTTTGCCTTTTCAGCTAAATTTAGCTATTACTTTCGGGAAAAACTAGAGCTGTTTACCTATAAATAGACACAAAATTCATTGGCAGATGGTGCAAATCAAACGTTTTGCAGCGCCCCAAAAATGCCTAATTTTTTCAAATTTCATGACGTGCAAACTGGCCGTGGCGGATGAAAATACTCAGGGCTCCCAGCGCGGCCAGAAAATTATTGTGAATCAAAGCAAACCTATCTTAGATATAGTCTTGATAAAGCCTTTCACTTGCCGGAGTTTCAGCGAAAATTATTTTTCACGAGAAATTGAGTGGGTGGTTTTAAAGGAGAGAACCTCGTACAGCGGTTACCACTAACACGCGCCCTCCTTGAAGGGTTTTTTCTTCAGTTCAAACCTGCGGCTTGGTGGACGTCAATCAACCGTTACCATGGTTTTCACGCGTTGGCCAAGAGAAGATTCTTTCCCTGTTTCTCGAGCACTCGCAAGAACATGTCAGCGTTTGAGCCGTTTTGACAATATTTTGCTACAGGATCTGACACCGCTTCATGTCAAGATTACGAGGAGTACGAATTTTTTAAGTTACAACTACATATTAAGCTTTCTCAATGCACGCTCGCAACTCGTCTGAGTTCTTGCTAGTTCAGGATTCTATAAGATAACATGAAGAACGATCAGTAGATCTGCAGGTTCCAAAATTCATTTTCGAATTGAACAGCCTCCGTTCAGAGGAAACCTTTGTCCCTTGTCTGTGTGTTATCTTTCGTTTCTTTGAATTTATGCTCCTCGGCAGTTCGTCCACGGCTCCCGTGTTTTCATACAATTAAAGAAATAAACAACCTGAAAACCTTCACGTTAACTACACGTATAGAGATTATTTTGGCCATTTCACTCAGCTTGCAGAAACCTCGTTTTTTTAACGTAATCCTTCAGCTTAATGAAATGAATAAAATTAAAAAGGCTGTCGTCATTCGAAATTATTCTAGTAAGTCTTCGCCCTTCATTCAGCGACGGGGGAACCTGCTCTGTCAGTGGACGTGGGAAAACCATGGAAACAGTTGTTTGACGTCCACGAAAACTCAGGTTCCAACAAAGAGGAAAAACCATTCGAGGTCATTTGCGTGTTTGTGGTAACCGCTGTAATACTGAATAACAAATACCTGATAAAAGTACCTCGAATCAAGACTTTCGCTAAAAGCTTTCTTTTATCACTCAGATGGCAACTGAGTATTCTATACAACTTGCTCTTTCTATTGGCCAGCAGGAAAAAAGTGTTTATTAGCTAAGTAAAGCAGGAGAATGTGCATTTTTAAATTGATAACAGGAGGCCATTCATAGCGTGTCTCAAATCTTGAAAACGTGCATCAAGAAATAATTACGCCGGAGATAATGAAAAAAGTCGAACGAGACAGGAAAATAATACCTTAGATGAAGCTTTAGAGAGGCAGAAAATGAGGTCAGAAACACACTTTGCTGTAAAAGCCTGTATAAATTCAAAACGCAGCCATCTATGAATTCCGTTTATGTGTTTCCTCAACCGCAGATATATACAACAAACTATCAAACCAGATTTGAACATAAAAAACAGCCTAATATTCATAACAGCTGTATTTCTTGTTGTCGCAGCCTTGAAGGAACACGAAAAATTTTAAAACTAAAATTGCACAACGTTCAGTTGTCAGTAAACAAACTTCAAGATGCTACATAGGTAAGTTTTTAGGCACGAATTCACCTGTGAATTCACTTTTCCCAATCTGTGACCAGACCAAGCTAATAATGTATTTTTTCAAGTTTTTTGTCGCAAATCAAACAAAAGAAACTTCAAGACTTTTTCTGGAACAACTCCATTGGCTGACTGTAGGTGAACTGGTTAACTTTTCACCAAGATAAACGTAAGCTGCGCGTGTCTTGGACTAACCCTTCCCTTCTCTTGCAGAATCGCAACACCCCTAACCACACAGTGTATATGGTCGGGTGGGTAGACGGGCATACGCTGACGTCATAACCAAATTTTCTCGCATCGATAGGTTTTCAATTTTTATAGCATTGACAGCTAATGGAGGCTTTTAATATGCTTTCGGAGAAAATATCAACAGCGCTTAACAATAGCAAAATATCTGATCCACCTATTTTGAAACGTCTAGGCCAACCTGATATCCATATGACTCTTTCAAATCTCAACCTCGATGTCAGAATCCTTTTGCAGGGTCATTGGGCAGTCATCTCTAGCCTATCCCTTTTTTTAACCTTACATTGAACAGCATGCAATGCGCAAACCTTTGTTAATCAAGCTAGAAAGTGACTGGAGTAATTATCATGGGGGGCGTCTATTAAACAGGGGGCGCGTTTGTTAGAGATGGGCGTCTTTTGCAAACTTGAAAACTTAAGGTAATTCCCTTGAAATTGTTCTACTATCAAACCTTTTTTTAATCTTAGCATAATCAACATTCGTGATATGAACATTAAAAAAATGCAATAAAAAGATGGGGTCACCGTGCTTGTTTACGCGTCAGCAGGTTCTTAAACTGGGGTATTTTTACTGGTTGCGCGTTGAAAATTCGAATCACCTTCTTACAGAATTAAGTCTTTGTTACTTGAAACACACAAAAGTTTATCTTGAACATAAAGCTTCTTTTATTCAAATAAGCAGTATTGCTTCATTTAATCCATTTTTGATTGCCTGGTTGTGGGGATATTGTACTTTTTCGGACAGTTCCGTGGTTGGCTTGAAGTCTTCACCTTGACACAAATACACCAGGTACGAAACTATTTTCCAAAAAAATCATGTTCTACTATCAATTTTTTTTTCTTGTGTAGATATGTTCTTTATTAGACTGTTCTTCGCAAATGCAAATACTGAGTGTAAAAAAAATTGGGGGTCATCGTGCTTGTTTCCTCACAAAAAGCTGTGAAAGGTGGACATGGTTTTGAGATGGCAGTCAGAATGAATAATTTGCGCTGCGGGGACTGTGGCGAGATACAAAATAGCGCCCATCGTGTTCGAAGTATGCACTCGAGATTAAGCCTGTTTTCGGTTGTTTTTATCCGTTTGATATTGCCAACACAGACATTCATACTTAACAAGAGTACCATAAATACCAAGGAATGAGGTAAGTCAAAATTTGATGAGATTTTGGAGTTATGAACCTTTATTTTAGAGTATTTTGTATCGCCGGTGTTCTGTTTAATTCCAGTGAGCTCGGGATCGATTTTTTGCTTTTGCGCAATAATGCTTGACAAAGAAACTTAAAGAAAAGACTATTGATTCCTATTCTTCATATGTTCGCTTGTTTGGTTTCTATATACAGCAAAATGTGAATTCAGCGGCAAACTTCCTGTCAAAGATTGGTCTTCTTCGCATGGTTCTGGTGCTACGGTGGATCTAATTTGTTCCAGAAATATTCGTCTCTCCGCGCTTAAGTTTGAACAAGATATGCACAGTAGCGATCCCAGGACAGATATTGGCTCGTGAATGCAATTGGAGAGTCGTACAGCTGTCCCACAGGCTTCACAGCCACCATCCAAAGCCTCAGCCACGACATTTTAATAATTCCACAACTCGACGGCCGCGAAGTGAAAAACCACTGCAGACATCGGGATCACGCACATTTCTTTCATTTTCTTGTTTTTCGATAGCAAACCAGGAAGCTCTTAGCCGATCTGCGCCATTATTATTGCGAATAAAAGCTTTAGCTGTGCAAAAGCGGCTCTTGTTTTTTCTTTTCGCGCTAGCGGGAAGAACCGCCGCCATCTTGGATGTCGCAATATTATGCGCAGTATAGCGTGCGCAATGCAAAACAAGGGAATTACCTTAAGGAGGCGTTTATCAGACAAAAGGCGTTCATTTGAGAGCGGGCGTTAATTACGTCACTTTCTGTAACTGGACTTGTCAAAAGGAGTACCTTCATTTAAACCTAAACTGGCTTTTTAATTTAAGGTCACTGGTAGTAAAGAAATTTTTGACCGCTTGAGTTCTTACAAAGGCTGTCATTCGGGATTCCTTGAGTCTAGTGGTAGTGATATGAATATAGTTTCTTTTCTCTCCCAGGACCTTTAATTCTTAAAAATTGATTACGGCAATACTAACAATAGTTGACAAAAGTCCCGTTCCGGCCATATACAGACATATCATCTTATGACAAATCCCGAAAGTGACAACACGACAATACCTAACAAAATGCTATAATAAAAATGGGTGCGCTTTGAAGTAACTGAAAAAATATATTTAATTAAATGAACTTGAAGTTCCTAAAATTAACCTTAATACCAGCACGGCATATGCATCGCGTAAATGTCAGATAAGCTTTTAAGCTTCATTAAGTCTGGCTCCAGGCAAACTTTTCATCCTCGCAAATAAGTTAATTCTAACAAAAAAAAAACTTGTTCAAGTAGTAATAGTTGAATACTTATTGAAGTGAATAGGTACATGAATTAAATACGAAAGGATCAAGAAAGACATTAAGATGAGGACATGTCTCTAATACACTTTCTAAGTTTGCATGGTATATCTTTCACTAAAATTTGATCTAAAAGCAAGTTAATTTTACAGGTGATTGCCTCATATCAACCATCGACGAATTTGTCAGTGAAAAAACACCCCATTGAAATAATTGATGATTTACTGGCAAGCGATCATGCTTGGGAAGGAATGAGGAGCAGTTTTGGTGATACAATAAACCTTTCTGCAGGGGATGCGAAGGACGTGGTAAACTATTACAGCAGACTACTTGCTATTGCCAAACATCGGGGAAATAAAAGAGCCGAAGGAGCTGCGTATGGTATTCTTGGTTTTGTTTTTCTGACTCAGCTTGACTACGAAAAGACCATAGAATATTTCAGCCGTACTCTTGATATTGCCAAAGAATTGGGAGACAAGAAGATGGAAGCATATTACTGTCAATCTCTGGGCGATATTTTCCTAAAAGTCGGCAATCTCAATAAAGTCATTGAGTACCAAAACGTTGCACTCAGTCTTTCAGTTGATCTGGGAGAAAAACTTGTCGAAGGTACTGCTTGTAACGGTCTTGGTAATGCTTTTCGAGGTTTGTGTAGGTATAAAGAAGCAATAGACTACTACAACGGCTGTCTCAGTGTTGCAAAGGGCTTGGATGACAAGGCGTTAGAAGCAACCGCGTATGGCAATCTCGGTCATGCTTTTGAGTGTCTTGGTGACTACAAACAAGCCCAAATTTTTAACAACCAATGTCTTAGCATTAACAAAAGTTTAGGACACACGTCTGGAGAGGGAATGATGTACACAAATCATGGCAATGTCTATTCTGGCTCTGGTGATTACAGAAAAGCCCTAGAATATTACAACAGGTCCCTTAATATTGCAAGGAATACAGGAAACAAGAGGAAAATGGCACTGGTGTATGGAGGTCTAGCAAATGCTTCCCTTGATCTTGGAGACACAAAAAACGGAATACAATACGCCAATCTGCAACTAACTTGTGCCAAAGAAATGGGAAACAAAGATATGGAAGGAAGTGCGTACGGCACCCTTGGACATATTTATAAGAGGCTTGGAGACTACAAGAAATCCATAGAATATGGCAATCTCCACCTTGACATTGCCAAAGCTGTTGGAAACTTGGAAGCTGAAGGCGGCGCGTATGGTGGCCTTGGTTGTGTCTTTGACAGCCTCGGAGATTTCGAAAAAGCCATTGACTACCACAAACAACATCTTCATCTTGCTAGAACCATTGGAGATAAAGATGGGGAAGCAATTGCATATGGTAATCTCGGCAACGCTTATCTTGGCCTTGAGGATTTCACTGCAGCCCTCCACTTCTTTCAACAACGTCTTAGGATTGCGAAAGACGTGGGAGATAAGGCAGGGGAAGGTCGTGCATATGGCCACCTCGGCGGCACTTTTCAACGTCTTGGAAACTACAAGAAAGCCATAGACTATTACAACCTGCGTCTCTGTATTGCCCAAGAAGTGGGAGACAAGGCTGGGGAAGGGGCTGCCTGTGGCTATTTAGGTACCGTTTCCCAGTTTCTTGGTGACTACAACAAAGCTATCGATTGGCACAACCAACAACTTACAATTGCTAAAAATATAGGAGATCAAGGCATGGAAGGTCTAGCCCGCAGTTATATTGGACAATGTTTTGAGATGCTGAAAGTTTTACCTAAAGCACTAGAAAACTACCAAACAAGCGTTGAGGTTTTCAATCAAATGAGGAGTCTACTTCAGTCTGAAGATAAATGGAAGATTGGATTTCGGAACGAATGTAACTATGCTTACACAGGCCTTTGTCGAGTTTTGTTAAAACAAGAAAAGATTGATGAAGCTCTGGCTGCTGCCGAAGAAGGTCGGGCCCAGTCACTAGCTGATCTTATGACATTCCAGTATGCTTTTCATGAAGGTCAAACCGAAGGAAAGCGCCTTGACGAAGAGGAATTCGGCATGTTAAACAATACTTCATCAAGCACGATTTTTCTATCTGTGTCAGAAAATAAGATAAACATCTGGTTACTTTTGAAAGAAAAACCTGTTCTTCACCGACAGAAGACACTTTGCCACCATTTTGCAGAAAATGCAGCAGCTGAAACATTACAGTCCCTAATCCAATTTGCCTACAAAAACAATGATGTTCGTGCAAATGTTAACTGCGAGAATCGGTCGTTAGACGTGTTACGCGAAAACTGCTTTACTGTAAAACGATCATCCAAAAAGTTCTCACATCAAATTCTGCAAGAGGATAACCCTCCCCTAGCCGCCTTGTACAGCTATGTTATTGCCCCAATTTTGGATCTCATTGAGGGCGATGAGCTAATAATTGTCCCGGATGGTCCATTATGGCTTGCTCCGTTTCCTGCATTACTGAATCCTTTTTCCAAATACTTGTGTGAATCCTTTAAAGTCAGATTAATTCCATCGCTGACAAGTTTGAGAATTATTGCTCATTGTTCAAAATTCCACAGCAGTAGTGGAGCTCTAGTTGTAGGAGATCCAGACATGAGTGAAGTTACCAACAGCCAAGGAAATCAGATCCTGGAACAGCTTCCTTTTGCCAGGCAAGAAGCACAGATGATTGAGCAGATTCTTAATACTGCACCTCTCACTGGAAATTTGGCCACCAAACGTGAAGTGCTAAAACAGATCAGTTCGGTTGCAGTAGTACACATTGCTGCACATGGACGCATGGAAACCGGAGAGATAGCGTTGAGCCCGAATCTTAAAAGAAAATCACAGACCCCTGCAGAAGAGGATTACATGTTGACAATGGCAGATGTGATGAGTGTGAAGCTGCGAGCCAAGCTAGTTGTTCTTAGTTGCTGTCACAGTGGTCGAGGAGAGATTAAAGCTGAAGGCGTGGTCGGTATTGCACGCGCCTTTATGGGTGCTGGTGCTCGTTCTGTTCTGGTGTCCCTGTGGGCCATCGATGACGAGGCCACGTTGGCGTTCATGAAAAGCTTCTACCACAACCTTGTTAAAGGGCGAAGTGGCAGCGATTCCCTTAACCGCGCAATGAAATGTCTCAGAGAATCCGAGAAGTTCGGCGATTTAAAATACTGGGCGCCTTTTACACTTATAGGCGATGACGTCACTCTCGACAAACAAGAAGAAATCAGGGTCTCATAAATAAATTAAGAAACCAAAAGACAGAGAGATGGCATGAAACAAAGTCTTGTCGATCTTCTCACAACGTCATCTGACTGTGAGCAACGTAAATAAGAATGAAATTTCGCCTGCCTGAAGTTACCCAAATAATCCCCATTTGAGTAAAAGAAGCGGTATCTCTTCTCTTCTGCGAAGAAACAAATCATGGCTGCGTGGAGACTAGCAGTCTAAGCGAGTGGACAGTTTATTTCAATAATAAACTGTAGCAAGGTCAATCTCATGTATCATGTTCTGTTTCATTTTTCGTACAAATGAAGTACTGTGGAACGTACAAAACAAAGAGCCAAGGGAATGGCAAAATTTGTTCGCTCTTACGCGGTTTCGTTTCATTGAAGTTCTTTTCCACGCATATATATTACTATTACTAGGTAAAGAAACTCATTCGTTATGCCGAGGACTTCGTTATATAGAGGTTCATTATACCTATGTCCCACTATAATAACACAGAATTGGTAATTGTTCCCTAAAATTTGAAGAGAAAACTAATTACAAGGCTGAAATCTGTGAGCTTTTGTGCTACTATAGAAAGCAACGACGCCTTAAATGTTAACAGAGCAGTGTCGCGACTGATATATGGTGTTTTCTCAGCACGCTAGTTTCAGCTGTAGTTTTAAGCAGTATGTGATTGTTTTCGTGCAGCAGTACAAAAACATAAATAATCAAAAAATAAACATTAAAATTCTTTGCAATGGTACATCTAATTTGATTGAGTCTAGTTCACTTCCTTCCTTTCAGCATTGCAGAGAAGTTTTAAATGAAGGTTCATAGTATACTTGGCAACGCAACATAAGATAAGAACTAACATATTTCGAGGTTTGTGCGTGGAATGCAGCTGAAAATGAATTTAGTCCCTTAATTCACTCTTTAAGTCTTCAAAAGAAAGGGGAAAGAGATAAAAGACCGTGCAATTTGTTGATGAAACAGTCAAATCTCTCAAGAAGGACCGTCCTTTGGCGCCAGCAAGTGTCAGCCTTAGAGTGTTCTCCCTTCTCTCTCTTTAGCCCTTTCACTCCTAATACAGGGATACAAATGTATTTTTGTAAAATCCTACGAAATATATATAGTGCTGTGTCGTTGGCAGAGTAAAGCGCACGAAATCTGTTTTATCAGGTGAGGTACTACCATAAAGAGATTGAAAAGCTTAGGTTTTGAGCATCAACCAATTGTTAGTGCGAAAATGGCGGGTGGCCAATGCCTTGGGACTCTGAAGCCAGGCACGAATCAGTTGAATGAAAGGATTTCATATTCATTCCGTTCCAACTTGGAAGGTAACTGATTGTTCTAAATTTTTGCGGCTTTCCTTGTTACCTTGGTATAGCGAAAGACCACAGTGAATGAAACAACAACCCAAGAGGAAAACCGTTTCTTATCTTCGCACCTGTCAAAAAATATCTGAACTGAATTCGGCAATCCCAAGCAATGACCCACTGTGGAGGGATCTTCTTGAAGCGTGAGCTAACTTTAGCTCGTTTTAACTCCTACCCCTTTTATCCTTTTTAAGACGGGAGTTGATGGGCGAAGTATAAGTAGAAGGGAGAAAGGGATTTCCCAACCTTGTTCTCAGGGTTCTCTCTTACCCTTCCCTACCGAGTGACGTAGGAACGGGTAGGGGAGAACCCCGGGAACGCGGTTAAGGCTTTCCTTTAGCCTTAATTTGCAATAAGCACCCATAACAGAAGAGGAGCCGTGAAAGCGATCTGAGAGATATCGAGCTCAGGTAATCTGAAATCTGTAGACTTTCCTTTTGTAGCCCAACCTCTTATCGTTATTAGCCAATTAGAGCCATCATAAAACACAACTTGACGCAGCCCCAAAATGATTGTGTTTATGGTTGATGTAGAACGTTGATATAACCAGCAGTCATCTCCATAGAAACGAAAGTATATATTTTGTTTTCAATGCTGAAAGACCCCAAACCATACTGGCAAATGTCGCAAAATAAACTTATAATTTGAAGGGCTGAATACGCTGCAAAAATACTGAGTTCACCATTTCCACATAGGCCATAATGCACCTAGTTTACTCTCCCCAAAAAAAAGGGAAATTACATAACCATTATCTTCGATTTCTCTTGAGACGGCTATAATACCCATGTTACCCAGGAGAAATTGGAAACAATGGTTATGCACAACTTTGGGGGGTTAACAAGATGCATTATGGTCTATGTGAAAATGGTCCTGTAAAGGATAGCAGAAGATTCGTCAGTAATCTGGGAGAGATCACATTATCACATATGCGATCTTCCCGATCTGTATAAAAGTCTCTGAACAATCAAATAGCCGGAAATGAATAATTGTTTGGGAGGGATTGGTCACTTTTGTATGAAAAATATTTTCCGTATTTATACCCAAACTTTAGCTTACGGTAATAGAAAAGAGGACGGCAGAGTTCGTTCCCGGTTTGTTGAAACTCGATATTTTCAATCCGAGGAGCAGCTAGCCTCCCACGCGCGTCGAAGTCCCAAGGAGATCTGCGGAGCAGCTCGTTATCATCCGTCCCAAACAATATCTGCCAGGATCTCGTCAACTGCCAAATTGTTTGCCGAAGATAGCGAAAAACATGGGCGGCTAACCGGTAAGACGAGAATTTCTCTTTGTGAACTTTCACCCATGAAAATCCGAGAAGACACAGTCCAGCGCGAAACGCGAGAGACGTGCGTGGAGCGTGGGACGAGGGGGAGAGAGAGATCATTGTGCAGGGGAGAAATAGTTAAAGCAGCGATTGAATTCGCCGTAAAGTGGTTATCGGTTGGTATGCAACACGTATATTGTAAGGTTGAAATATACGTGACACAAACTGATAACCACTTTACGGCGACAGCTTCCTAATGTCAAGGACAAAGACAAACCGGAGGACAGACAGGGAGCAGTATACAAGATCAAATGCTGTGACTGCCAGGCTTCATACATTGGTGAAACCGGCAGACGCGAGTGACCGAACACAAAATAGCGACGACGAATGGTGACGTCAACAATCACATTGCTGAGCACCATTTACAGACGAAACATCAAATTGACTCTGTGACATGTATAACGTATTCTACAGACTACTATCAACGTCTTACGTCAGAAAGCTGGTTTATTAACTTAGAACAAACGCCACTGAACATGAATCGTAGCCAACATAACCACCAGCGCCGTACAAACGACTTATTGACGAGATCAAGCAAAACTAACTACGAGAGAACGACTGGAGAACTGACAATTTGACTAACAAAAGACGACTGTTTAATTGTGACAATAGACCGATCGAAACGCACCAATTACTGATTACGAGTCTTCATAGCCAATAACATCACGGCTTAGCTGACAGACGACCAATAACATCGCGACATAATTGACCAATCAGATCATTAACCAGAGTATAATACCATCAACTGACGTGATACAACTCATGTTGACTCAGAAGATGACTACCGCACAGGTTGTCGAAACGTCAGTTACTGTCAACAACAACAGTCCTATTCAGGACTACATTCACCTGGACGATCAAACTCAACCTACTTTACAAATGACTCCTTGGTTCAAACCTTTCACAGAGAACTAACTAATCTGTAAGTTGCGCTGATTTCCAAAATTAGCTACAGGCTCTTAGCCAGTGAGAAGACAGATAATGAGTACAATGTAGAATAATGAGAAATAGGGCCCCCGACTTCCTTTACACGTGTATTTCTTATATAGTATTGCAACTCAAAATCTTTAAAACTCGCCAAAACGGCCTCGAAATGGCTCTAGAAGCAAACAGAAAAGACACAGCACAAACACGAGGTGAAAAGCACCAAAGGCAGAAGCCGATTATAGTAATCGGCCCCGACGAAGGGAACATAGCGAAAACGCGCGGAAAAGACTGGAGGTGACTTCTAATGCTCAATTTGCCGCTTTTGCAAGTCTTTTTTAGATCTGCGCGTCGGAGTCGTAATTATCACCACATTGTTGTCTTTAAAAGGCGCAAAAGTTTCACATTACCAACCAATAAAAGATATAAAAGATCTAGGTGTTTTTAATTTGGAATGCAACATTGAATCCAATATAATAAGAAAAAAAAGCAAAGAGTAGCCTTCGAGCACATACTCAGCCAAACGCGCCATGACTTCCTGCTAACCTGGGCTTTTCATTTAGATGTGGAAAGACTATGTATAGTTAGTGCAAAGGAATTCGCGAAAGGAAAGAAGCGTTTTCGTTTGTATTACATGCAAACGGCTAATATTTCGGTTAGTGAAAGAGCAAGCAAACAGAACCAGACACTTTTAGTAAAATATAAACATTGTCATCAGGGTCGCTAAGCAACGCGGCGACGTAAAGAGATAGACGCAAAGCTGTTTGTCTGCAATTTAATAACCGATCATTTAGACAGCTATCGAAAATTTTAAAACAGTTTTAAATGGATAATGGGTGATATCATAGTTTATTCCTCTATCTGAGTTCCCCTGTACTACCCCCTCAAAAATTAATCGTTCCTCGGGAATTTTCCCTCCTGTTAGGTTTCAATTTGTTTGCTGTACCATGGGTGCATATTTTAGTAGTATACTCGTATACTACAAAGCTCGTTAATATACTGAGATTCCGTAGCCTGAATTTAAGGCTGCACAAGCATTTTAAGCATTGACACTTTTAGAAAATATTACGTTTGGGAACTTGGTGTAAGCTTGCTTGATCGTAGACTCCAGACGGTTCAATAGTCAGTCGTCCGGTAAGTTTCAAAGTCTTTATCTTAAGTTTATCGCCTCTTTATATGACGAGGTTTTAAAAGCTCTAATTTGTTGTACTTTCATGGGGTGTGCAGATTTCAAGAACGGCTCCAAAATTTGCGTTTTGCCACCGTGATATGAAAGTTACAATATTAAAAGGAGGAAATTTACATGTAAGAGTTACGATCGACGTTCCAATAGGGTAATGTAGTTGGCGGAAAGCCGTCTCATGACGATCGGGCAGGTGCCTATTTATATACCTTTATATGAACGA